TGGGATTTCTGTTATGGGATTTTCCCCAATGGGATTTTCGTTACGGGATTTTCCCCAATGGGATTTCTGTTATGGGATTTTCCCCAATGGGATTTTCGTTACGGGATTTTCCCCAATGGGATTTCCCAATGGGATTTTCCCCAATGGGATTTCTGTTATGGGATTTTTCCCAATGGAATTTTCATTACGGGGTTTTCCCCAATGGGATTTTCATTACGGTATTTTCATTATGGGATTTTCCCCAATGGGATTTTTCCCAATGGGATTTTCGTTACGGGATGTTCCCCAATGGGATTTTCGTTCCGGATTTTCGTTACGGATTCCCCAGGGTTCCCCCGCGGGGCCGTACCCGGTTGATGAGCTCGCCCACCATGCCGGTCCAGGAGCCGTTGGGCTCGGGCGCGCCGTAGAGCCCGTCCTCCACCAGCTTGATGTGGAAGCGGAACTTGAGCAGCGCCGCCAGCTCCCGCAGCATGTCCACGCAGAACCCCTCGTAGCGCTCGGCGCCGCCCGCGCCGCCCACCCGCATCACGTACGGGTTCTCCTGGAATTCGGGATCAGGGACTCGGGATTTGGGGTCAGGGATGTGGGATTTGGGGGTGGGATCGGTCAGTGGGGTGTGGGATCGGTCACTGTCCACGCAGAACCCCTCGTAGCGCTCGGCGCCGCCCACCCGCATCACGTACGGGTTCTCCTGGAATTCGGGACACGGGATTCGGGATTTGGGATTGGTCAGTGGGATTTGGGGGGTGGGAATGGTCAGGGGGGTGTGGGATCGGTCACTGTCCACGCAGAACCCCTCGTAGCGCTCGGCGCCGCCCGCGCCGCCCACCCGCATCACGTACGGGTTCTCCTGGAATTCGGGATACGGGATTTGGGATCCGTCAGTGGGATTTGGGATTTGGGATTTGGGATTTGGGATCTGGGGGGTGGGAATGGTCAGTGGGACACAGGAATGGTCACTGTCCACGCAGAACCCCTCGTAGCGCTCGGCGCCGCCCGCGCCGCCCACCCGCATCACGTACGGGTTCTCCTGGAATTCGGGATCAGGGATTCGGGATCCGTCAGTGGGATTTGGGATCGGTCAGTGGGATTTGGGGGGTGGGAATGGTCAGTGGGGTGTGGGATCGGTCACTGTCCACGCAGAACCCCTCGTAGCACTCTCCTGGAATTCGGGATCATGGATACGGGATTTGGGATCGGTCAGTGGGATTTGGGATCGGTCGGTGGGATTTGGGGAGTGGGAATGGTCAGTGGGACACAGGAATGGTCACTGTCCACGCAGAACCCCTCGTAGCGCTCTCCTGGAATTCGGGATCAGGGATTTGGGATACGAGGTTTGGGATTTGGGATCGGTCAGTGGGACACGGGAATGGTCAGTGGGATTGGTCAGTGCGGTGTGGGATTGGTCAGGGACACTCTGATGGTAACCAGTTCCCTCCCAGTTCCTCCCAGTTCCCTCCCAG